CAGCAGTGCGTAGGCAGATTTGAATTTACAACCACTCAGGTGGTATCTGAAGATTTAAACGTTTTGTGACAAACGGCTGTCTAGCAATGCGTAATGGAAAAAATCCTGCAGTGCATTATATCCTCTCACTGTACCGGCCACTTCCCTCGTCATACTCCTCAATCTTGGCGGCCCTAGAGTTTTGGATAAGGACGCTACATGTAGACTGATTCAACTTGAGGTGCGCTTTTGTGTTGTCTTGCAAACAAAAACCCTAAAACAAACCCTAAAAAATAACATCCCATAAAACCAAAATGGAAGTTTGATCTTACGAATATTGGATAAGATAGTATAACTCTGAACCACACAGATTTGCAGTTTTTCGACAGTCCAGCTTTATGTTTTCATTTTACTTGAAAAGCGTCCTTTCATTTTTATTCCTTGGTGTAATTACCAGTTCTCAATTTTGCCTAAGAATTGTTAGTATGCAAATCAATTGTACGCACCATCATGGAAGTAACCAGCACCTAGATATAGACTGTTTCAGACGGGTTATATTTATTCTAGTCCGCTACCTCAGTGATGTTCCAGTACAGAAGACAACTCGTGGAGTACGGCGTGTTTTCGTGAAAGGGTTGCACTGTGACCAGACTGTACGATGCAGAATCACCTCAGGGGTCAGTTGTCCACTTCCTCACAAAACAAAGACTGAGGTTACAAACAATTCCCTTGCACGCAACACCAATGCACTTTTATAGCCCTTGCTTCCTTTTAGCCCCCCCTAGCAGTGACCAAAAATGCATTCTAATCAATTTATTCCTTCATTGCCGAATATAAAGCCCTGTCCTTTTGGACTGACGTAATGTTTCTTCCTCTGATTACGTCAAGCTGTTATAAATACGCACCGATTTCTTCTCGACAAACCACAAGGCGAATATGAAATTCAGTACTATGACGACTGCTGAGTTTATAGTTAAACGTGATCATGTGAAGCAGTCTGGTGCTAGCAGTAAAAATCGAGGGCTGTGTGCTTGTGTCTATGCGAGCCGCTCTGCCTATACAGTGCCGCTACTTTTTTGCACAACTAAGGTGTTTATAAACAGCTCCGCATGAGCAGTTATGGAGTTGATTCATTGAACGAAAAATCCTCACTATCCCTCACGAAGGACTAAGGTAGCATCCCTCGGGAAAACGAGAAGGAACAGCTTCGGAACTAACGATACACTACTGCCCCCAAGCTGTCAATTTGAGCTGAGAATTCCACTCATTTTTTGACACATGCAACTCGCTTTTGGGCACACTCGATAGGCCCACGCTCCGGTCTACTTAGTTATAGACATATATATATATATATATATAATATGCATAGGAAAATACATTATTCATTGCCAAGTACTGATGAATATAACCAACAATCATAGCTTTTGATTCCATGTTACTTTTGATTAGATAGCCTTCTACTTATCCAAACCTGCTTGTTCCGGTTAATCCGCTACGAGTAAAGATGCGTTGGACCCATTACCAGTGCATATTAGGGTATGTCGGCATCGCAATTCTTTTGTCTTGCGGTGATTGCTACTCCAGAAAATTGACATCCAGGGAGGGATTGCAAGTACTAAACCCTCGACATGTGCTCGGTGCGCCTAGCTTATCGCGTCTGAACGAGTGGCCGTGTTCGCAATTTAGCTGTTACACTGATTTCTTTAAGACCTCGAATGAAAACCATAACCACATGATTGTGTTGACTGGTTGTCCGATCTGTCTTGAATTCGCAATTAGGTTGCTCAAAGGATGCCTGCAACTGGTTGGATATTCTGCGTAAATGCGGTACTAATTGCAGCCAGCCTTCCAATATGAGAACGCTGTCACCCCCACCCCCGCATTCGGCTGGACATAATGCAAGAAATAGTGGCCAGTGTATGTCGGCAGCGCTCGTTCTGTCACTTTCCCCCCAGATTTTCTGAGTGAGCCACTAAAGGTGGAGATAACTGCGTAGGCCAGCATCTCTACTTTTTCAATTTAGGGCTTCAAGTGTATTCCGAAAATTCCCATTTATAATAAGATACAATTGCAAGGTTAAGAGAGCGGTATTTAACATATTTCAATGAGTATGGTGTAAATGGACAGGGAATCGAGTGAGATGACATTGGCTAACCAACAAAGAACCATTAGTTCAGGTCGCCAATAGGATGACTTGAGCTAGTCAGCTCGGGGGGTGTTGTAGTTGTGTGTTCAGCACACGATGCATGTGTGGGGGGAGGTGAGTTGGACCATGGTAAGTACAACACACGAACAAAGCGTTTTTGCCGACAAAGGATCGGGTCGCGATGTCGTATGGCGATAGCTTCAGCCACTGCAATTGTGCGCTGCTGTACTGATCTGGGTTGGTTAGCCGGCGCCTTGTAAACAACGCGGAAACTTTGGCTGG